TTTTTTGATTTTAATGGACTTTAAGCTATCTTTTCAAGAAAACGTTAATGCGAGTCCATATTAAAATAAAGGTAGAAAGTATTGGTATAGCTCACAACGGAAAAAAATAATAAAAGTTAAGTCGTCCAGTCCCTATTTCTCCAGTCATCCCTATCCATCGCCTTCCTCCGCCAAGCACGTATTCCCATATTTCTCATCTCCTCATTGATATTCTTCTCTGACCAATGGCTCTATCAAAGAAAGTTTTTCTAGCTGGGTCATTTTGTTACATCCGCATTACACGCCCTATCCACCTCAGACGTCCTATCTTAATATTTTTTACGATATATGATTCCTGGTATATTCTATAAAGTTGTCATTGTCACTCTCCATTGTCATTCACTGCTCCATAGATTCGGCTTATTACTTTTCTGTAACATCCTAACATGTTTCCATTACTTTTTGTTAGAGTTCAGGTCTCTGACCGATATGTTAGGACTGGGCGTATTATTGTTTTGTAAAGTTTTATTTTTGTACCGTAATTACATATTTCTGACTATTTGGTCGTCATCACTACGGCGCAGTCAAGGTAAGAACGGTGAATGTTAACTTGGAAAAAGATCAATACAGAAGCAATACAACAAATTTGTAGCAATAATTTTAGAGGTTTCCAGAGCAACAACTAACACATCCACAGAGTAAGCTACAGCAACCTGAGGAAAGGAATGCCAAACGTTTAGAACGTTTCAAATGCTCCTGTAGTGATTCTCCTATCCTAACGTTGATAACATTCTCCTATCCTGACTTGGCTGCACAATACTGATGACGACCAATTAGTCCGAAATACGTATTTACAGTTGCCTTCCATCTTATATTCATATTATTTTTTTTTTGTTGCTCGCTATGCCGATACTTTCTACCTTTATTGTATATAAAGACGCTACCAATGCAGATTAATTATTAAGGTCGCGGCGTATTATCATGCACGTATAGTTTCCAGCACGTAGCGTTTCCAGTCTAGCATTCGGACTCCACGTTCGCATTTTCATACTAAGAACGTTTCAGTTTGTTTCGGCGAAGATATGATCTCGATTTTTGCGCAAAAATTATGTGCAATTGGTCTTCTACTTAACGATGAAGAAAGAAAAACTGTAGTAAAAAGAAGGTTTGAAGTATATCCAACGCTAAGAGAAAGGAAAAAGGAAGGTGAATACTGGACTTTATACAAAGAATTAATTGATGACGATGAAAAATATTATGGATATTTTGGAATGAATAGGATTCAGTTTGAATATATTTTAAATTTAATTACACCTTTAGTTAAAAAACAAAATACTACATTTAACGAAGCCATATATATCAAACCAAAGGGTATTTTTAAAAAAGAAGAGGTAAGTAGAGATTTTCCGTGCAAAAGTTCTAATTGTTTATCACTTCCATGATTAATTGTCACAAAGCAATGAAAACACATGCATAAATGACAAAATAGCCTCGACAATAATATTTTTAAATATTCTGTATCAAAATCAAACAAATACCTAAATAAACAACGAGGAGAAAACGATGGACCCCTAATTCACATTATCCGTACCAACAGGTTTCGACTCGTTCCGTAGCCGTCGGCTTCCGTAAAATATTGTATTCGAATATACTGAACGCAAACGTTAGTGTCTGATACGATACGTTACGGACAGTATGAATTGTTCATATTTAAAACCGTTTAAATTATAATTTTCCGAAACTAAACGATACGGGCTGGAAACGCAACGTGCATGATAATATGCGACGACCATATTCTGATGAACCACACATTACAAAAATTTTAATTCGTTGGAAGAGACGACCTAAGTGAAACCCAGCTTGGACTTAGGAATGCGTTAGTATCCGTTAGGTACTTTTTGGCTTAAATGTACTTCTCTAAAATGCCTCTACCAACATAAAGATATTTATGTAGCATTCATCGATTTCGAAAAGGCGTTCGATAGAGTATACCTGGAACACTTTTGAACATATTAGGAACCAAAGGCATTGATGGTAGAGATCTACGTATAATAGCAGTCGCAGCGAAGCAGTCGTACGAGTCGATGGGAGATTATCCAACGAATGTTACATTCAAAGAGGCTATCGGACGCTTCGGAATGCATTTTATCTCCGCTGACATTTAATATCTATTCAGAATTAATTTTCAAACAGGCTTGCAAGATAAAGATTTTGGGAGTGAAAATCGGTTGTGAACTGATTAATATTCTAAGATATACTGACAAGACTGTTATCTTATGCAATAGTCGCCAGTGCATTCAAAAGTTTTTTTATTGCGTAAATACTACAGGAACATAAATGGGTATAAAAATTAATGTTTCTATGACAAAATGTATAAATTCAGTCGGCAAACTCAAGACAATGTTTCCTGACAGATAGTTATACAAAACATTGGAAAAGTTACTCACTTTAAATATCTGGGATGATACATTATAGACCAACCAGACTCAAGTAAAGAGGTCACGTCCAGAAGTAAAGCAGCTCGCATAACGTTTCGAAAAATGAAATCATTCTTCTGTGGCCACAGTTTAAACTTAACATTTCGTCAAATAATGATCAAATGTTATATTTTGGTCAGTGTTGTTACATAACACCTCGACCTGGACTCTGAAAACTGATACGATCAATCGCCTAGAGGCGTTTGAGACGCAAGTGCATATAAAAATGAGCCGAATACGCTGGACAGCGATGCAGATCAATGAAGCTGTGTTAAATAGACCAAACGCCGCTCGTGAGTAATTAAAAACTATTATAATCAAAAATATTTCATACCTAGGGCATGTTCTTCGAAAAGACTGGTTGGTACATAATCCTTTAGTTTATTATGAAAGCTAAAATCAAAGGCCACAGAGGAATTGGAGGAAGATATCATGTATTCGCCAAGACTCTTATGAAGCTTCCTCCGTGGTTATTGGTAGTGGTTGCCCTGGAAACCATTTGTTCTTCTTAAGGTGCCTTCTCCAGTACTGATTGTTGGTTATAACTACAGCAAATTGCTCTCCATCTTGAGCTGTTCTTAGTATCGAATGTGTGTCCATGCCTGTCAGTCTCTTATATTCTTCAAACAGGAGTATTTTCTTCTTCCTGGAGCTTTTCTTCCTTCCACTTTCCCTTCCATTATAAGTAGTAGGAAGTTGTATTTTTCTCCTCTGTAAATAGGTTCTAGATAACTCGTTTTTCTGTTTTTTACAATATTTAGAGTTCTCTTTCAGTGCCCATTCTTCTTAGCACCATATCTTGGTCACGTGCTCTGTCCAAGAGAGCTTCAGCATCCTTAGAAAGGCCCACATCTCAAAGGCTTCTATACTCCACATACTTGTAATTCCGAGAGTACATGTTTCCACTCCGTATAGCAATATGGAATAAATAAACATTTTTACAAATTGGTATCGGATATCCAACGATAACGTAGAGTTTATTAGGAATTTTTTCATTCGTTGAAATGCGGTCCTAGCATATTCTATACGAGCACGTATTTCGACCTCGTGGTCAAGATCGTTTGTTATCCAGCAGCGAATATACTGGAATCTTTGTACTGGTTCTATATGTTTGTTATAGATACGAATATTAATGTCGTCATTTGGTGCACGTGTAACAGCCACTACTTTTGTTTTATTTGTGTTTATATTTAGTCCCAAGCTATCTCCTTCTCTGGTTATGACATTCAAAAGTCGTTGTAAACCCTCAGCACTGTCCGCAATAATGACGGTGTCATATGCGTATTTTAAGTTGTTTACGTATTCTCCGTTGATTTTTATTCCTTCTTTAATATTTTCGAGGGCATTTTGAAAGATCTTTTCGGAATATATATTAAATAACAGTGGAGAAAGTACACAGCCCTGACAAACTCCTCTTTTTATTGTCAATTCTGCTGTCAGACGAGTGTCTATTTTGATCGACGCCTTTTGATCCCAATATAGTTTTTTAATAAGTGTTTTTGTAGAAATCTGGAGACCAAATAATGCCTCCCTTGTACCAAGCCCCATACGAAACCATTAGGGTCTTTTAACTCTAATGTAACAAATTGGTGGCATGGCTCCTGTAGTGATCCTTTCTCAAGTTAACGAGCTCCTTTTCTAACTTGACTGCACCGTACTGAAGACGACCAATAGTCAGAAATACTTATATACGTTTTCTTCCATCGATATACCTATTTTATATTCCTGTTTTGAGAGACCTTACATTTTACTTTTATTATTCACCTTTTCTATTTGTATTAAACGTTTGGCATTCCTTTCTTCAGGTAGCTGAAACTTTCTCCGTGTAATTGTTAGTGTTGTAGTTGCCCTGGAAGCCATCAGGAAATCTGGAAATCATCAGGATCTTCTAACTCTAATACCATAAATTTCGCATTGCTCCTGTAGTAGTGATCCTATCCCAAGTTAACATACTCCTTTTCCAACTTGGCTGCAGATATATATATATATATATATATATATATATATATATATATATATATATATATATATATATATATATATATATATATATATATATATATATATATATATATAATTACATATCTCATTTATTATTAGAGAATAATAATTTATCCTAGGCACTACCCTTGTGTCGTTTCTTGCTTGGAGCGTAGCGTAATAGAAAGAGAGTGCAATGTTGAATGTTGTTACCGATCGATTTTCGGTAACCTTGTGAGATATCTAGAAATTTATGAGATATGACAACAGTGCTTAGTGTTTGGAAGCGCGTCCATCGCACCTGTCTAAGCATCGAGGCGCATGAGTTGGAAAAGAGAGCGCACATGACACAAAATCAAGGCTCCTGATTCGTCGTTGTGCGTCAGACGACTAGGTATCGTCATCGACATATAAAATTAAAAGAGAACAGAACATTCAGAATTTGTAAGTCACACTCAGGGATTGGGTGTTTCTTTAATTTCTCGCTGCAAGGTTGTTTTCACTAACCAACGTACGAGTTTTTGTTATATTTGTTCGCGCAGTTTAAATAATTTAAAGGACCCAATGTTGAGTGAAAATCAGAATCTAGCCATGAACGGTTACCTAGAAAGTATATCCACCAACTTAGAAAATAGCAGGTATGTTTTTGTTTATATTAGTTACTTCTTTTGAATTATTTACTGCATTAGTGAAAGTCATAAATTCTTTAACTGACATCAGAATTTAGAACATCGGGACCCTAACCTCCAACCAAAAACCTTCATAGACTTTACCTTCAGGTGAAATCTAGTCACTACTGTATCATTTTTATTTAAAAATCCAAATGACTAACTACCTCTGATGTAACCGAGATAACATAATATTTAATTAATTACAATTAAAAAATAGGAATTATTTCACTAATTTCTCTAAAATTACCGGCTTATAGGTCGATAAAATCACGTGTGGGTTTGCACCAATAGCAGCTCTCCGATTGGGCCTTAACAGAATCGTATGATATGTAAGGAACAACCTTTTAGCCTAATTTTTTAATGATTCCCTGTTTGTTATTGAATTATTTTTTATTGTTTGGTCTATATTTAGTTTGGTGACAACTATCTGAATCGTTTTAGATTCCATATAATCTTTCATTTTGACGTTACCTGTAACATTTCTGTATATATTTGTAAATATTATATAGCATAAACAAACAAAATCTGTTTTATGCATAATTTTTTATGCAGATAATTACTACATAGTGTATATTCATTGTCATTCCTTGCTTCTACATTGGTAATGGGTGAGCTTTATGTGTTTAGAACAGTTACATATTAACCTGCAGGGCGAAACTGTTCCTTAACCAAGGAGCATTTTAAAAAGCTTGGTGCATCATTTCCCCAAAAATAAAGTGTTGTATCAGTCATTTACCACTGTATTGTGGTAATCGCAACATTGGTTATAATTCCCATCCTGTGGCATCTCTGTATCTGCTATCTAATATATGATCGGTCAAGTCTGCTCATTTTATTAATTTAATGTTGGATACATTAGTTTACTTCTGTTAATAAAATGAGTTCTAGTATTACATTATTTTTTCATTGCTCTAGTTCAACCGTTGTTTTTAACGTCCCTTTTTTATCATTGTTTTTAAACTGTTTTTGCCATCGCAGGTTAATCATTTGTTTTTTATATAACGTCTAGTTTATTTCCTTATTTATAATTTGTAAACTCAACAATGCATGATCAGTAATTATTTAATATAGGTATGTACATATATCTCGTTCTGAAAATAAATTTATTATATTGTTTCTCAGAAATGTCAACAAGATAATAGTGTTATTATCTTCTGAGAATTTTTAGTTGTTTCTTTTCCATTTAAATTACCTATTATCTACAGGTTATCATAGTTTTTCCTAATCTAATTATATTTGATTATATTTGAATTTGTTCCAGCAACGATGCTCAATTATTTATTATTAAGTCATCACTCGACATTTTAGTTGCTTTCTGCATTATTTCCATTATCTGACTTGTTTGTGTTTAAAGGTCTCTATTCGTCATTTTTGCTATTATCTTGCTGATAAGATTGCTGTAAAAGTTTCAAGAACTAGTCTGTTCATTGGCAAAAATAAAAAATTTACGATGACGAATACGATCAGGCTATTAGACAAGAGTTAAATAAAAAAATTTGACGACAGAAAATATAATATCGACTATCGATAAGGCAGTACAAACACAGGATAAATGCAAAAAAAAAATTTATTATAGATCAAACCTAGACTTATAATTTAGAAAAGTAAAGTACATTCCATTCGAATTAAAAAAAATGTGTTTAGGCGATGTTAGAGTAAGATAGCCAACTTTCAATACTAAACTAAATACATATCGTTCCTCGAGCAATAAAGGTATCCATACTTCACTGTCTCACATTAACTTATTATCATTCCCTTTGCCTTTATTCCTTGAAGTGTCGGCTTCTCTTAACTAACATTTCTGCTTAAATTTCTATTTGGTCATACCGATTTACATAGATCATTGACAAATCTTGCTTAAAGGTCTCTCACCAGTTCTTTTTTGGTCTTCCTCTCCAACTTCTACCACGAACTTAACTGCTCAGCGATTCTTCGCATTAAGTGATTATTACTTCGACCTATGCTCTCTTATTTCTCTCAGAGTTCTCTAAACATATTCATTCGCAATTTTATCCAAATCCAAGAATCGTAGATCAAGGATTACTTGATTAGATTGATCGATCCGTACTTCTTCTATTCTTCATGGTTAACTACGAACTGAAGGAAAGATTTTCTACTGAAATGTATGCCATTAACCAACGATTCTTAGTATTACGATAACGATTCTTTGTATTAGGTGATTAATACTTCAACCTATGCTCTCTTGAACTCTCTCAGAGTTTTCCAAATATATTCATTCGTAATTTTATATTTTCTTGTCATTTTTGTCTTAAAAACACCATAGAATTTTACTTTTATTTCACTGTTACTTGATCCAAAATTAGAGTATAAATAAGCACTGAGCTCGGATTGAATCCTACTTTCACATGAAATGCATCTCTCCTACACCTGTCACTAATAGTAGTTGTTAGTCCATCATACATCATCTATTCATCAATGAACACCATATGTCATTATTGATTCCTTTATTGTTCCATCTCCTGCGTTATAATTGTTTTGTGTATAACTGTTTAGAACAGCGGTAAAAAAAATTGGAATATTTCGGTTTCTTCACGCATCCATCGATCAATTACTCTCTCCCATATTTTCATGGTTTCACTAAGTAGCTTTATAGTTCTGTAATGGGCCCATAGTTTAACATCCCCTTTGTTTTTGTACACAAGTACTAAGGTACTGCTTCTCCATTCATCGAGAATTTGCCCCATTTTCATAATTAAGTCATATATTTCAGTTCCTTGGTTCTTAAAATAATCTATTTGAGGAGTATTTTGTGCTTTGGAAGAAATGAAGCGTTACATGGATGAGTAGGCTTTGGAACTTAAAAAGACCTCTATTCTTAGAACTTGGGATTATCATCAAAAGTGTGATTCAGTTTTTCATAATCTATATCCCTTTGAAAGTCATTTTAATTAAACTAATTTCATTACATAAACTGTTAATTTCCTTTATTATTTAATAATCTATTTCTATTAGTTCCTAATAAATTCTCATTAGAGTTATTTATCTATGATATCTTTTGTAGGGATCTGGAAAATAAAAATTTAGTTGTTTTCTACTGCTCAATAGATCTCTATAACTACTATTGTTTAGATAAATTCGTATATTTTTTTAGGTTTATTACCTAAATATTTTATTACATATTATACTTCTTCCGTATTCATGATTTTAACCAGTTGCAACTGTTGACATTCTCGTTAATTATGCTGCTAGAAAAGCGTGTATATCTTTTATTTCCATTTTTTATATCAACCTGTTGCTCCGTTTGTAAATTTTATAGGACATTTGGATTGTATAGTAGACCATAAAATTTTAGTGTTCATGAGCTCTTTTACTAGGCCTAATAAATTGTATATATTAGCTATATGTACTTGGCTTCTACATCCACACTATATTAACTGCACTATATCCACTATTTTTTATATTCATTTAATTTCTACAATTGCGTTATACTCATTTAATACAGAACGTACTGTAAAATGTTTATTCATTTCATTGTGTCCTGCGAAATTCATTATATTAAATTTTATATCCTTTTTTTTGTGACAAAATAATTAATTACCTAAGGAAACACGTTCCTTATAAATTATGTTAAAGGCGTATTTAATTGCCTAGTAAACAGTTCGCAGTTATCAATTTTTTTAGTAAAAATAATAAAATAATTTTAAAACTTTTCACTATAATTGGATAGTTTATTTAGCACCAATGTTTTAATATCCTTAGATTTTTTTTCTCAACTTTTATTCGAGTTTTTTGTTCTCGTAAAGAGAAAAGTATGAAATGACAAATAATAATCTGAAACCTTGAGCCACGAAACCATGTTTAAAAAATCATAATCAGTTTCGGTTTTTGGAGAAATACACTTGTACAAAACAAAATAGTCAAGGTAGACCCGAACGTTACTAGATTCGATGACTATTTGCACTACCCACTACTTTCACAGCCTTCATATGATCTTTTTTCGTTGGATAAATTTTTTATTGCTGAACCTGTACATTATTTATGTATATAAAGTTCATAGAATTTGGAGATGCAAAAGTTCTTGATGTTTCAAGAAAGGTATTTGAACGGGTAACTAAAAGAAAAACACTAGGTCACAATTATTTTTTATTCCCATTGACTCTCCGCATCTCTGTTTTCTACCTATTCGGTTATACCTATTCCATGACATCTTTCCCCTCATCATAATATCTATACAGGGCGTGGCGCGATAAGTTTTATTAAAAGTAATAGTGGATACAGTTATGTTAAAAATCTGAAATTACTAAGCTGTAGATTTTTACTGACGCTTAGTTGAAATATAATGTTGCCCTGAATGTGGCACTTCCGGCTATATCGGAAGTAAACATCAACTTTGTTATTTTAAATAGAACCTAATATTTTTTTATTTTAGAATTCTAATGACATTTTAGATAAAATTTGTTTACAATTTCCTTAGTTGCTTAAAGTTGCTTACTTTAAATGGAATACCCTATATTCTATTACATTTTCTGAACGAAAATACTTAGTTTGTGATATAGGCAAAAAATCTAAAATTTCATTGTATAATTCTATAGGTTCTATTTAAAATAACAAAGTTGACGTTACTTCCGATATAACCGGAAGTGCTATAGTACATTTGACAATGATTGATAGCACAAATTTTATAGCAAAGATCTAAACACAGGGTTGGCAATGCGAAAAAACGTAATAATTGATACTTTCTTATATGAATTTTTACTGAGCTTGATTATTAATTTAATATAAAAAAACTAAAATTTCAACATTACGTTAATTTTTATAAAAATACTAAATATTGGTTTAGGACATTTCCTTACAATTTAATAATAAATATATTTCAGGTATAAGCGTTATATAAACTTATAATTAGTAATGTAGATATATAATTACATACCTAAATACATAGGTTGTCTTCTTCCGATAAGGAGGCATCATCATCAGTTTCTTCATTTCCCACGGAAATAATAATT